CAGTTTCTCTGATACTCCCTCAACATCTGGAATGACCACTGGTCTGGGTCTGGGTTCCTCCTTTTCACCTGATAGCTGACTGGAGTCCTGTTTGGGTTTCTTCTCTGCTTTCAGGAAGGCCCAGTTAGGATATCCACATTGCTCTAGAGCAGGGGTGGGCAATTATTTTTTCCATGGGGCCACATGAGAAACAGCAAATATTGTGGAGGGCTGGCACAAATGACTTTTTCATTCAACCTTTATTTATTCAGGTAAATCCCATTGAGCCTCGAGGACTCATTTACAAGAGAGACCTGATTTCAACTTAACTCAGTACTGCATAATATTAGTATTTCATTATTAAAAGAAGTACATAGCACTGTTTTAACAACCCGGTAAGAGTATTTGTTATGATTAAGCAACGAAAAAGCGAGGTTTCCTTACAAAAAATGTCATTTATTAAATTAAATTTCCCAGTACAATGGTAAACTGTTAACATCTTTACCATTTGTGACGTTATATTAATGATCATTTTCAGTCACATTCACCCCAAAACTCATTTTGAGTTTTATGTACTGCTGGAAAAAGTTCTTATCTTTGTAAATATATCACAATATTGTCTTTGTACTCCAAATATTATGAAACATCATATAATAGTGATCGTCACTGAACTGTGACTTCGAGTCCCGGTTCTTTACGTGCCTACATTTGTAGTCTAAACATCTAATTTGGTGTTTATCAGTTCTTTTTTCTTGTTTAGTGAGAGAAGTTTAGTCTCTGTTGGGCTTTAACGGAAATGTTAAAGTCAGGTTGAAGGTCTGAGGTGGAGATGTGAAGCAAAGCTGACATCATCAGTGAGAGAGGATCTATATCTGGATTTGGTTAACTTCATTTGTTTACACATGTATTTTGTAATTCCCCTTACGGGGGCCGGTCACAGTCAACCAAAGGGCCGCATGTGGCCCTGGGGCCGTACAATGCCCAGGTCTGCTCTAGAGCCTGTCTTGTGTGGGATTTCTCCTTCTGCCTGGCTCCTGAGCTAGTGGGGACGCTGTCTGCTCTGTGGTACAGAGTCCTGATGACTCCTAACTTGTGCTCCAAAGGGTGATGGGAGTCAAACTGCAAATACTGGTCTGTGTGGGTGGGTTTGTGGTACACCTCAGTTTGCAAATGTCCTCTATCAGAGACTGAGACCTCACAGTCCAAGAAAGCCAACCTACCATTTTTTACATCTTCTCGTTTGAACTTGATGTATTTATCCACAGAGTTGATGTGGTCAGTAAAATGTTGGACTTCCTGAGATTTGATTTTAACCCAGGTGTCGTCAACATACCTGATCCAATGACTTGGTGGTGTCCCTGAAAAGGACGTCAAAGTTTCATCCTGCCTCAGCAATGCCAAACCACCACCTTCCAACATCAGTAGAGAGGAGAGGGACGCACTCACCACTCTTAGCAAGGACAAAAACATCATCATTCTCCCAGCAGACAAAGGAAGGTGCACAGTGATTTTGAACCAGAAAGACTATCATGAGAAAGTTATGACACTCCTTAGTGACTTAACCACTTATGAACCTCTGAAAAGAGATCCAGGAAGTGGTTACAAGAAGAAGTTAATAGATTGCCTGAAAATTTTGGAGCAGGACAAGGCTATTGACCGTATTCTGTACCACAGACTGTACCCAGGGGAGGCCACACCTAGTCTGTATGGTTTACCTAAAATCCACAAACAAGGTGTACCTTTAAGACCTATTGTTAGTATGATTAACTCTGTCACTTACAATGTTTCCAAATATCTGGCATCTGTACTCATCCCTTTAGTTGGCAGCTCAGAACACCACATACAGAACACCATGGACTTTGTGGACAAGGTGAGGGATGTCATCATGGAGACTGATGAAACAATGGTCTCTTTTGATGTCACATCACTCTTTACGTGCATTCCTGTTGATGATGCAGTAGAGGTGGTCAGTTTAAAATTAAAATCAGACACCACTCTGAGCAGCAGGACCACACTTTCCACAGAACAACTGTGTCAACTCTTGAAACTGTGCCTGCAGTCAACCTACTTCACATATGGGGAGCAATATTATAGGCAGAAACATGGGTGTGCTATGGGGTCTCCAGTTTCTCCTATTGTTGCCAACCTGTACATGGAGGAGGTAGAAAAGAGAGCCTTGACGTCCTTTTCAGGGACACCACCAAGTCATTGGTTCAGGTATGTTGA